CCTGATTTCCCTAATGTCTTGCCAATTCTTCTCTGCCCCCTCCCCATCCCTCGTGACGATTCTCACGGGGATTGCATTACACCTGCGCTTGCGTGGCCTGCTCTGCCTTCTGGTTTGTTACCGGGGCACGTTCAGAAATGACATGAAGCCTCTGTAGCATTTTCCTCCCTTAGCCCTAGAACAGACCCTCTCTCCCTCGCGTGGTTCAAGGAGGATGGTTTGCTGGCCTTCTCTGCCCCCTCCCCATCCCTCGTGACGATTCTCACGGGGATTGCATTACACCTGCGCTTGCGTGGCCTGCTCTGCCTTCTGGTTTGTTACCGGGGCACGTTCAGAAATGACATGAAGCCTCTGTAGCATTTTCCTCCCTTAGCCCTAGAACAGACCCTCTCTCCCTCGCGTGGTTCAAGGAGGATGGTTTGCTGGCCTGTGGCATTGTTCTCTCCTACCACCGTGTGGGCCTTGGCCCCGTTTGTGTTTTGCATGGGCCTCGTCACTGGCCGTGACCCCAAAGCTACAGAGGGTGGAGAAGTTTGAAATGTAAAGAGCAATAAACCATGTAATTGTGAGCTAGACACAATCAGCCAGCGAGTCTGCAGCATCTCAGCTCCAGGGCCAGAAGTAGGAGCATCATTTGCAAGGGGGACAGCTGCTCTCCAGACCTCGGTTTGCCCCCCTCTGCGCACTCACAGTCCCACAGCCAGGGTGTGCTGAGAGGCTTGTGCTGTTGGAGGGGTGGCCAAGAGGCCTGGTTTCCAGAGGGCAGGGGTTCAGCACCTTCTGGAAACTGGGCCCCCTCCAGGCGTCTTTGGTTTGGACTCCTCAAATGTAAACATTCAAGGTGTGTCCACACTTGCAGCCTATTTCGGAATAGGGTTGCCAATGGAGGCATTCGGAATTGCAAATCAAGCCCGGGATTTAAATATCCTGCACTTGATTTGCATCTTCCCGGATGGGAGCCATTTTTTTTTAAATGTTCAAGCTGGGAATAACTGCCCGCATCTACACGCGGCAGTGAAACGGGATTTCGAAGTAAACCCCTAACTCAAATTAGCTGTTACTTCTCGTGGAATGAGGTTTAACAGCTAATTCAAGTTAAGGGGTTTACTTCCAACTCCCATTTCACTGCCACATGTAGATGTGGGCAGTTATTCCAAGCTAGTCAGCTTCCAAAATGGCGACCACCCGGGAATAGGCCAGGATCCCAACTCTGTCCCTAATTACCACAGCCCTGCCTTTGGGAGGGGCTTATGTCAGAAAAAAACCCCACCCAAGTGAAGTCATCGCGGCTGCAGGTGGTGGGAGAAGGCTGGGAATGGCAAACGTTTTGGGAGTGGGTGGGACACTTTCTGGGCTAGAACAGGGGTATGTCTACACACGAGGAGTAACGGTAGTTCGGAATAGGAAGCCTAATCCGAACTACCTACTCCGTGCCGCGTGTAGCCGCTGGCACGGAGTCCGAACTAAGGGGGATTTAAAAATGGCGGCGCCCAGCAAGATGCAAATGAAGCCTGGGAAATTTAAATCCCGGGCTTCATTTGCAACTTCGGTTGCCTACATTAACCACCCTAGTTCGAACTAGGGTGGTAGTGTAGACATACCCCAGGAGAGTAGGCTAACGTTTAAGGACTTTGCAGAGCCATTCCCTGTGGGGAAGGGTGGATTTCAGGATCCCACCTCTCCTTGTCTAGGCATCCACTCTCCAAAGAGCCTGTCTCCGTTCCATTCGTAGCTGCTGATTTTCAGCTGTGCTGAATCGGACGTCAGCTGTTAGCGAAGCCCCTTTTAGATCCTGGCCCTGCCTGGGTCTACTCCAGCCAAGATGCAAATGGTGTTTCTTGTGGTCAATGGGCAGCAGATCTGCCAGCTGAGCCAGGAGGGAACCGAGTGGTAGGAACTAAACTAATCTGGTCTCTTCCTTTCCTCACTCAGCCCACAGGGAGGAGACAGAAGGTGTGATAACGGAGTCTGGGACTGGCGGGGGGCGGTGAAATCGGAGACTGGAGATAGAGATCAGGCTCATGCTATCGCCCCATGCCCCAGAACATTGTCATGAGAGGCCCTATGCTGGGAACAGTGATTAATAGTGATTAACACTAACCTCTGTCATATTGCTGCTGATGTTTAGCCCTTGGAAATTCGTCGGCATAATATTGAAGACCAAGGTCTGAATTTCGGGGCACACGATAGTGAAGTTCTCCTGGAAACTGACATTCAACAGGTTTTCTTCTATCTGTTTTAAACTAGAACAGAGAAGCTTCAGGAGTGGAGAAGGCCATAGAGGCAGGGCCTGGGGGAGAGAATACGAGGAGGAAGGCAAGACGAAGGGATGAATGAGGGGAAGAGAGTAGCCAAGACACAGAGATGTGTATTTGAGATGATCTCCGGAAGACTGGAGCTTGCCTCGCATTTGAGGCGCTAAAACCAGAGGCAGACTCAAACATCAGTCCATGGCATTGCCAGCTTTAAGTGTCCCCCTGCAAACCATGGAATGGGTTTTCTTTGCGCTTGCCTTGCTTGTTTTTCTGTGCTGTGCGGACACACTCTCCCTGTCCCCATCTGTCACATGGGGGCAGTCCTACTGGCCTGCTTCCCTGGGCGTTTGCAGCAGAGAGCAAAGTTTGTAACCTGCTCTGGATGTCGAGGGAGGCTGGGGGAACAGCTGGAAATAAATTGTTCTCCCCTTTCCAGCCTTTTAGCTAAAGAGAAAAAATGTCCATTTGCGGCAAACGTTCTGTAAATTCATTATTGTCTTTAGTTCATCAACACCCACCTGCCCGCCACCTGCCCAGATTTCCACTTGATCAAAATGCCGTTTTCTGCTTTGGAACGCTTGGATGGAAGTTTCCTGGCAGCTGTAGCTGCAGGAGATGGACTCGGGGCACCGGCCCCGGCGTGCCGAATGGGAAAGCCCCCCCCTCCCCGCACATGTGCCCTGCTCACTCTTCCAGCGGCTTCTGACTCCGTGCGCTGCATCCTTTCTCCAAGTGATTGTTCATGACAGTCAGGTTGTCCTTCAGCACCTCCATGCCTGGCTGTGATGTGGCAAAACGGCAACTTTCTCCTGGTTCTGGGAGGGAAATGAGATGCATCAGGATGGACAAAGCGGCAGCCCCAGGGGCGGGAGGGGTTGGAACCTGCACCCTCCTGTTACACGCCACGTGGCAGAGATCTTGGGAGGAAAGCGAGCAGGACAACAACAGAGAGAGGGCTTCCTCCCCGCTTTCCCGCTCCTGCTTCTGGGCTGGGGCAGGGAGGGCTCCTCCCCCAACCCTGCAATCTTCTTACACTTGCCCCTCGCCAATGAATTTGTACTTGGAGCAAGTCGCCTGCCACCAGGGCAGGGAGGGGAGTCGCATAGGCCTTTGCGGGGGGCTGAAAGAGGAACTTGAGGTGAGGCTGCAGCTTTCACTGAGACTGCTTCTCGCCACAATTCCCCACGTGCCCCCTGCTCCGCAGAGGCCTTCTGCTGGTGTGTGGGGTGGAGGGAGTGTGACAGCGCGTTGGGGTTTCCCCATCTCCTGCACCCCCATAGTGGCACGGACAGACTCCACCAGCCAGTAGAACAGAGGGAGTTTATTGCTTCTCCAGGATACAGCACAGCACAGATGTAATCTGGTTCCAGGGCAGGCCTAGGATGCCTCAGTCCCCCTTATGATGGGGGAGATTGGACCCCTAAATCCCAGCCCCTTGCTTAGGCTGCTTCCTCCACGATACCAGACAGAAACTAAACCACTCTTCCAGCCCTGCTGCCCAGAGAGGGGTTGGTCTCCACCTTCCTCCCTTTGTCTCTCTCCCTGGGAGGCAACCTGTCGGACAGGTTGTGAGACCCTGGCCTAGTGACTCATCTGCTGTCCTGTTGGGCCGTGGAGGTCACCCACTGCCCAAGCCCAGCAACCAGCAAGGCACCCCCATACCACACTGGTTATAGAGCAGACAGCACGCCCCCACTATGTCACAGGGAGCCAGGCGGAATTATTCACCTCACCTGCTGTTTTTTTCACTGGACAACGAAACTTTTGGCGGGAAAGAGAGCGACTGCAGTCACCCCACAATTCCCATGAGAGAAGATGCTGGGGGAGGGGGGGAGCTTGACTGGGCTGCCGGACTCGCTCCCCTGTGGTGCAAACATTGTCGGCAGCTGTCAGGGTGGCCTTCTAAGCAAGGCGACTGCAGGCATGGCAGAGCCCCCAATCAAGAAACAGCCATACCTGCTGCTGAGTGGAGAAGAAGATACAAGAAGAGGCATGTCCGCAAGGGTGAGTCCCACCCCACCGTGCTCCAAAGGTAGCTCATCTCCTGCAAGAGACACACATTCTGGATTCAGTTACCACTGCTGAGAAAGTGGGCACAGCCAGGAGGAGACATAATGGCTACGTCTAGACTGCATCCCTCTGTCGACAGAGAGATGTCGATTAGGCACGTCGAAATTGCTGATGAAGCAGGGATTGAAATATCCCATGCCTCATTAGCATAAACATGGCTGCCACTTTTTCAAAATGGAGTTTTTTCGGAAAAAAACAGCAGTCTAGACGCGGATCTGTTGAAATAAAGCCTTTTTTGGCAGATCCTGTATTCCTCAAAAAACGAGGTTTACAGGAGCTGTCGAAAAAGGTTTTATTTTCGACAAATCCGCGTCTAGACTGCTGGGGTTTTTTCCAAAAAACTCCGTTTCGAAAAAAAGCGGCAGCCATGTTTATGCTAATGAGACACGGGATATTTAAATCCCTGCTTCATTAGCAATTTCGATGTGCTTGATTTGAATCCTTCTGTCGACAGAGGGCTGCAGTCTAGATGTAGCTCTGGGCACTTTATAATCTATATAATTCATCCCACAGCCCGTGGGGGGCCTAGTGCCGAACATTTTTAAGCTCTCTGACCTAGCCCGCACTGGAACCAGTGGGGAAATTTAATGGGCGGCACAAAACAGAGGGATAAACTTCGTGCTAATGACATTATGGAAGCTGACTCGCATGGTTGTGAAGCCCTTTGCCTTCCTAACCCTTCCTGCTTAGCTCCCAAGACAATTTAAGCCTGGGGGGCATGTCTATAACAGGAAATTATTTCAAAATAATAACTCCCAAAATAACGATTTCAAAATAGCGTGTCTGTGACCGTTTTCTTAAAGCCCACGCCGAGTCCAGGTGGAACACCGTCCTAAGTGGGAGCTCCGCTCCCCGTCTGAGCCTCTGGCCTTCTTGCAGCACTCGTGCCGCCGGGGCGGGTCGAGCCTATGTGTATCCCCCGGGGGGGGACCAGGAAGGGGGCTCGGGCCCTCCCTCACTCCGAGCCCTGACCCAGGGCCCTGAGAGAGGGGACGTGCGTCCCCTGTCAGTGGAGGGGGTCAAGTTTCCCCCAAACCCTCCACTCGCGGGGTTTCGCAGCCCCGCCCTGGGTCCCTTCTTCCCGGTCAATGTCTTTACGGGTTCCCCCAGCGTGGGGACAAGCTTACTCTCTATCCGCTTCGGAGGCCTCCTGGCCGCCCGGACTCCTCTGGGTCTGGGTCCTTTCGCCGGTCCTGGGACAACCCCCGGAGTCGGACACTCTTCTCCTCCTCCCGGCCGAGACCGGGGCCTTTTTGAATTCCCCGCTCCTTGGCACCTTGGCCTGACGTCATCACAGAGTCCCGGCCCCCGCCCTGCTTGGCGTCTTGGCCGGCGCCTTCGCTGACGTCATCCCCTGGCGCCGGCTCGGGCCGTCCATTATCGATCGCGCCGGTGCTCGGCGCTATCGCCCGGCGCTCCGCGGTGCAACTCCCGCCACCCAATCTCCCCTCCCGGTCTCTGCCTCCCTCCTCGGGGCTTATCACAGAGTCCCGGCCCCCGCCCTGCTTGGCGTCTTGGCCGGCGCCTTCGCTGACGTCATCCCCTGGCGCCGGCTCGGGCCGTCCATTATCGATCGCGCCGGTGCTCGGCGCTATCGCCCGGCGCTCCGCGGTGCAACTCCCGCCACTCAATTCTCCCTCCCGGTCTTTGCCCCCCTCCTCGGGGCTTATGTCAGTGCGGGGTCGGGCGGGGGGTCCGCCTACCCCGTCACAGTATCCACATGACAGGGAAGCCTCAAAATTCGTCCCTCGCAGGCTCCCTGAATGTGGACACGCTACCTAGACTTAGCGCCCCAGGAAGCACTGGGGAGTAATGACTTTGAGTGACTCTGACCAGGGTACATCTAGACTACACGCCTTTTTTGACAAAGAACAGCCCGCTCTAGCCCCGGCTTACTATGCAAAAGAGCGTCTAGATTGCACTAAACGGATCGAAACATCCATCTGCTTTTTTGAAAAAGAGCGTTCAGGCTGCCTGGATGCTCTGTCGAAAAAAGGGCACCTGGAAGCACTTCTGCCAGGGCATGGGGGCAGCCTTTACTTCCGGGTCCTGCAGCATGCTCTTTGCAGAGATGCGTGCTTCAAGAGACCCCCCTGAACAGCCGTTCTTCTGCTCCTGCAGCTGGCTTGCCTACCTCCTAGAGGGACAGCAAAGCTTCTGCAGTGCTTGCTTTGAGTGCCCTGCTTTCTGGGACACCACAGCACTTTTTTTCCTGGTTGTGTTTTGAATTGTTTTTTTGCCATGGAGCCGGAGCTGCCCTTGGCAGGCGATGGCCCCACACTGTAGCGCTTCAAGTTGTGCTGCAACTCCATGAGACCTTCATGATCTTCATGCCACGTCTGGATTCTGAACCCAGCCTTCAGCCCCTCGCTCGGGCTGCAGCAACACTGTTCTTGCCACCAAACTTCTTCCACGAGAGGTGATTTTGGAGGCTGGAGACAAGTTCAGACTGGTGGGACCAGCTCGTCATGGAGCGGTGGGACGACCAGGCTTGGCTCCGAAACTTCCGTAAGCAGAAGTCCACCTTCCAGGAACTGTGTGCCTGGCTCACCCCCGCCCTGCAACCACAGGACACCCACCTGCACCCTGCCATCCCCCTGGAGAAGAGGGTGTGTGACGGCGCGTTGGGGGTCCCCCGTCTCCTGCACCCCGAAATGGCACAAACAGACTGCACCAGCCGGTGGAATAGAGGAAGTTTATTGCCTCTCCAGGATACAGCACAGCACCGATGTAATCTGGTCACAGAGCTGGGCTAGGATGCCTCAGGCCCCCTTGAGATGGGGGAGATTGGGCCCCTAAACTCCAGCCCCTTTCCCTAGGCTGTCTCCTCCATGCTTCCAGCAGCAACTCAACTCACACGCTTCCAGCCCTGCCCCCCATCCAGGGTAGCCTCCACCTTCCTTTGTTCCTCTCCATGGGGGGTGTCTGGCCATACTGGTTTGCATAGTGACTCATCCTGTTTTGCTGGGTCGTGGTACCCACGGCAGCCAGTGGGGGTTATCCCAGAGCCAGCAGCATAGAAACCAGCCAGGTACCCCCACTACGTCACAGGGTGGCTAGCAGTGTCACAACTAGTGGATACACGGGCAACATTTCAAACTTCCAGTGCTGTCTGTGAGCCTGGCTTTAGTCTTCTCTAGAATATCCAAACTATCTCTGCATAAACGTTTGTCATTTTGGTCTTAAGTGTGCCTCGGTGACCACTTACACACACACCCACACCCCGCACAGTGATCGATCGGGAAAGTAGGGGATCTTTGTGGGGGGAGAGAGAGGGGGCACCTCCAAAGGACTCCGGAAACCCCTCTAACTTCCTATTCTGTGTATGTGTCTATTTCTGCAAGTGGTGAGGGCCATCAATTCAGAGCTGCTGAACAGGATTGTCCACCTCGGAGACCTAGACACCATCATGGCCGGCTTTGCTGGGCTGAGATTCCCAAACTGTGGAGGAGCGCTTGATGGAACTCACATCCCAATCCATGCACCGCCCCATCGAGCAGCCCGGTATATTAGCAGAAAAGGGTACTTCTCCATTTGTGTGGGGTGGTCAGGCCAGGCACATGATGCTCGGATCTTCCGAAATTCATACCTTTGCTGCAGGCTGGAACATTCTTCCCACAGCGAAACTTTGCTGTTGGGGACGTGGAGACGCCAATCTGCATTGTGGCTGAGGCAGCGTACCCCTCATGCCCTGGCTCATGAAGCCGTACACTGGGCATCTGAACGCGAGCAGGGAACAATTTAATGCGCACCTGACACAGGTGCGCTTGCAGGTGGAATGCACCTTTGGCCAGCTAAAGGGGAGGGTTAGTTGCCTACTCACTCACCTCGGCATGGGGGAACGCAATATCCCTGAGGTGGTGGCTGCACGTTGCGTGCTCCACAGCCTGGTGGAGAGCAAAGGGGAGGCCTTCCTCCCAGGGTGGGGGACACGGGCTGATGTGGAGGGGAGGCAGTTCGAGCAGCCCTGGACAGCTGCGCTAGGGCGCAGAGCCTGGAACTGCCATGCAGGCTGGATCAAAGCCCTAGGTGGGCCAGATGCCCACCCCTGGCCTAGTCTGTCGCCCAGAACCTGAGGGATTCCTATGTACGATGCTGTCAGAATTGCTTGGCATATGCAGTGTGTGTTCTCCTGCCCCTTGCACACGTGAACACACGTGCAGTGTCTCATCGGTGTCTTCTGAGCACTCATGACTAGCAAGTAGAGCAAAAGCTGGGGCAGGGAGCGCTGCTCCCAGGGAGCGCCCAGGGGACAGTTGCTATCGTGGCTGACCCCCTGGCGATGGGACCAGGGGTCTCCAAAGGTAAAAGCATGAGCTGTTACAGCTTGCGCTCAAGCACCCAGGCTCCCCTAGCCAGGAGCTGTAACACCTCACACTCTGTGGCCAGCCACACTCTTCAGTGGTTCAGAGAGCAAAGGATGAACTTCGGGCCAGCTTGCTCTCACACCTGGCAGTGCTCTCAGAAACCCGGGGCTGAGCTTCGCATGGCTGTCTCAGCAGGGTGAACTCTCCTGGCGCCCGGCACACAGAGGACGACTATACTGCAGCTGGTGTGTGACCTGTGTGCTAACGGGAGGTGCCTGGCTGCAGCGGCCTTAGTGGCCAGCCCCTTAAATACACCCCCGGGGGCTGCATGGGATGGTACTGAGACAGCAAGCCAGAGCCCCCTCAGCTGCTTATAGCATGCCAGTGCCATCAGAGCTAGCAGGGATACGCCCCCTGTGCTAGGAATTACTCCTCCAAGGCTAGCGTGGATGCACCCACCCGCTCACTTGTTACTGCTTGACTGGGCTAGGACAGAAAGATGCCGCGTGCTAAAGAGACAGATCGGTGCTTCTCCCCTTCTTCCCGCCCCAGGACTACACGTTACAGCAGAACATGGCTCCAGCAGCCAGACCCTATGGCCAGAAAGAAAGGGAAGGTGGCTGAGACCCCCTGAGGCATCTTCATGACCCTCCTCCCACCGGGGCTC